GAGGTGATATGTTTTCATTGGACCAACCGACAGTTAAAAAAAGCAGCCCAGCTGTCAGGAACACAAACCCCCCTTCACTAAGCCCAGTATCACTGGGAGAAGGGGAGGTGGAACAATAGCTCCCTTCTCTCAGGAAGGTTAACCATCACTGTGGGATGAATCCAGCAAAGATTTTATACTGTCTGAATCTAGCTATTTCTTAAAATTTCAGTTTTTGTATTATTAAAAGCTAGTTTAAACTAAATTTGTCAACTACTGCAGCACAGCAAGAATTCATACAATTCAGCTCTTGCAGTCTTTACAATACATGCCTGGACATAAACCCACACCTCTCCCCAGTGCTTAGCATGGGTCTTTTTGGTAAGATATCTCTGTGTCTTAGAATAGGATTTCTCAGTACCCAAGATTATATCAGCTCCTGCTGATAGTTTTTTGATTAATGTTCTTAACCTTCTGTGGCTGACATCCCAATCATCTTCGCAGCAACTGAGCTGTCAAATGGAAGGCTGAGGCTGCGATCAGAGAGAGAGCACCAGCAGGAAGACAATGAATTTGTACGGAGCAGAAAGCTGGTGCTTGTGTGCATCTACCTGATTAAAACAGTAGAGAATCAAACAGAGCTGTATCTTTACAGTTAGAAGAGTGAAATTCTTGTGCAAAACAAAACATATTTTCACTATATATCCAGTCTACCTTTCATTTATTCAACATTCCTTTCCTTTTTGTTTTCTCATTAAACAGGGAAGTTGGGTTGTGAATGGCTAACATAAAATTTTAAGAGGAAAAATATCCATAATATAAGCAAACACTGCAAGTCTGCAATCCAAATTCTATTCTTTTGAAATCTAAGTAAAACACCAACTATGTAACTGGGAGCAGAACAGACATCTTAGGAGAAAAAAATTATTATGAAAGGTGAGTTGAGGGACAGTAAGGCTGCTCTCCAAATTCCCTTAAACTGCAAGCCCCAGGTTTGTTGTTAAAAGCTAGAAGACAAAAAGCTCTCTTACTTATCAGAGTGAGCCTTCTTTTTCCCTTCCTAAGGACGTTGTTGAATTTCAGGCTGGATGTTTCTAAATCGCTGCTAAATACACAAACAGTATGCCAGTGTTCAAGTTGCACAGTATTGCTCAAGAGCAAGCCCCTTCTCAGCAGCCCAACTGTATAAATATCTACAGCCAGTTATGAAATCCGTCATTACCTTTTGAAAGATTTTGCAGATGTGACAGACGAGACATGGGTTAGACATTAGCTGTACTCCAAAATTTTATAAAACACTCTTCTGAAGCTCAAAAATGAGCCAGCTTTGACTACCACTAATGTTTTTTAAAAAGTTTAATAGAAACTGTGGGTAGCCCAAACAAGACTTTAATGTTGCTTTAGTCCGAGGCCATCACTGAGCATTCATTTCACAAAACGAGAGAGAGAGAGGATACATTCCAAGCTCTGTGTTGAAGGTAAGACTTCCTGCAAGACAAACCTCCTTTTCATACATCTAACAGCAGCAAACCACTCTCCTTCAACCTCAAGCCTGAGAGTGGCTGTTCACCCATCAACAGGAAAACTCCTCTGGCAGAGTGCCCCTAGAGCCTGCAAGTACTTAACAAGTCATACAAAACCAGATGCGAAATCCATCAAACAAGTGCCGAGTTACCAAAGCTAAAGGTAATGCAAAGCTTTGAACCGAGTATCGGCAAGTGAAAGCATACTCCCTATTCATTTGGGGAAAATGAGAAAACCTCGTGTATGTTGTTCTGGAGTGTTTTCAGGAACAGGGCTAGCAAAGGTAACTTACCACCAGTCACTAATGTTTTACTTAGAATCATCTGGATCTGCTCTAATTTTTAAATACCACTCTGGTATTTATGCTAGCTTTTCCACTGGAACTACTACATTAACCGTAGCTTTTTAAAGTAAAGAATGCTAATACAAGCAGCAAAGCATCTGATGGCAGAAAAGGACCAAGGTCCATCTTGTTACCACAGTTCAGTCATATGTAGAATATGAAGTCAAATGAAAAGCAGGAAGTAATCACTGGGGTTTATACAGTACAGCCCCGATGGCAACAGTGCACAGAGGATGATGGCTACATATTGTTAAAGATGCCAAGTCTCTGATTTCTCTTTCAAGGCAGCAAAAACTGAATGAAATACCTATAATTAGCAGGAAAACATATTAAAGTGATGTAGCATAAACTAGAATAAGAAGGTTTCCCACCAGGTAATTGTCAGTAATTTTTGTAAGACTCCACTTTCACTTCAGGATTTAAAAGTTTGGCCAAGTACATTATCACAGTGCTTGCAGGAAAACCATCCAAACTGAAAGTGTCTCTTACCCTTTCCTTCTCTTTGTTGTTTTACAGTCTCCAGAAGAAAGATTCAGTCCCCCTAACATATAACTCAACATATATCTGCCTGTGAAGGAAAGAGTTGGCTGGTGCAAGTCACCCTTTGTACTACTCTGTACTACCTTTGTAGTAGTTAAGTTCATTTTGCTCCTGCCCTCCTCCCCAGTACCACTGGGACAGCATGGGGACTTCTCTGCTAAGGAGTGTGGGAAGAGGCCTGGATGGAGAGGGAGAACATATGGAGACTGGAGCATTGAGGAAGGACTTAGGTGGGGGGAAATAAATGGTGAAGAAAAGCCTACAAGCGGCTTGTCAGTGGGCAAGCATGTGCACACATACACATGGGTCCCTGTATTTGCCCAGGGGAGAGGAGGCATGCAGCCACCCTCCTTTCTGTCATGAGTTCAGCACCAAAACATGCAAACTCCTTGAAATATTTATAGACAGAAATCCAAGTGGCACCATTTTCTTATACACACCTAGACCCCTAGAGTGTATGCAATTCAAGCAGAAGATGAAAAAAGACAAGAACAACCGTTCTCCCCTGCAATAAGCAGATATCAGTCAAGTGACTAAAAATTTATTCACCTCCTACACACGGTATCCAAAGAAACAATACATACAAAGATCTGATTATCCCACAATTACACAAGCCTCCTGGATTTCATATTTTGAACCATATGACAAAGTTCAAGATACATTATTCATTAGATACAACAGGTAAATTTCAAAGGAGAGTTCTTGAATGTATGAAAAAAATCACGTCACTTATGTGACCTCCATGACTTATGCATTCCCGCAACAGACTGTATTTATAATGTACTGTTTTACTGATACTGTTAACTTTCTCTTGCAGATCTGCTCCTCTCCTTAAGAAGTCATTTGTATTTTCAGACATGTCTGTTTTGTTCATTCTACCACTTTATATTTACATCAGTCTCATCAGAAATACTGCTGTCATACAGGCTTCTAATTCAGTTGTTTGGGTTTTTTTTGTAAGAATCTTTGCAGTCTTTCTACATTTTAGAAGAACTTGTGCACAGCACAAATTAATTCAAATGGCTTTCTCAAGTTATGTACTGAAGGATATGCATCCAGAGATTGTCCTGTCTGAACACATCTTTCAGTAGTCCAGTCTGCATTTTTAAACTAATTATAGATTTATAAAACGTATACAAAAATTATCCCGGGACCAGTACAATGTCCAAGACACAGTCAGTAAAGATGCAAAATTATTCCGGTATCTTTAACTCTGAAATAATATAGGTGTAAACTTAGGTTACACAGAGAAATAACTTTTTCTTAAATCAAGAACTCTGTAACTGAATAAATAATTTACAAGCTTGAGAAGATCTGCATGGTTTCTTACACAAAGACTTGTTACCTCTATCGTAAAAAAGCTTAGAGGAACTAAGTATCATTTCTGTTGGTGGTTGTAAAACGTATACCTATTTTTGTTCACATAATTCCCCTCTTTAAATCTGCTAGAGGTAGATGAAGATAAAACAAACCCCAAAATTCAAGGGATTAAGATACTGCAAATAAATTCTAACCCTGCAAATCTAGTGAACATATGTTCTCACCAGATTTACTGAAAGCAGTTATTTTTTCTTTATTTTTTTAAATAGAACAGTACTCAACTTCTCCTTCCTTCCCTGTTGTCAAAATCAGTGCTTGATACTGGCATAAAATAATTTTCAAAGTGTTCCCGAATTAGAGCAGAAGCAGGTCCCACCTCACACTCTTCAGTCACTTTGATAAATTCCCAGGGACTGTCTGTTGAGGAAGCACTGCCTACACAGCACTGCCCAGACAGCCCCTGGGCCTTCCTTCCAAAACAACAACAGACAAATCTGCAGATCCCACCACACGTAACTCAGGAAAAGAGTGGGAGCGAGGAAGGTAGGGTTGAAGGCAGGAGAGAGAACTGGACAACCTTCACAGCCATTACAGATGGTGACCTTTCTGAAGATTTTGCTGAGAGTAATTTTAGCATGGGTGTCTGCATGCACAGGCTGCAAAATATTTGGCTATTACCACAAAATCAGAGATTTTATTAGGCACATGAGTATTTACAAGATCTCATGTAAAGCCTTGGTTTTGGCATAGAGAAAATTATAAAGCAGCAACATAATTTTCTAAACCAGGAAAGACTTCATTAATGTCCTGACGGACAAAACAAAAAATTTAAGATGAACTGTTCGGATCCGATTTCCTACTTTTTTATAGCTTGGCCTGTGGCTTCAACTTTTCCAGTATCTCCTCTAGTCTCTCTCCACCTGTAATTTTATCTACTTTCTTCAGCCAAAACTTATCAATGTGTTGAAGCCAAATATATATAAGAAAGTGTACAAGAAATAGGAATGAGCTTGGCAGCCCTTTTTAAAAGTACTAAACAAAATATGTTTCCTCTTCATCCCTCACCAGACAAAAAGGAAGAAGCATCACTACATACCAGAACATCTGCATAAAAGTGCCTCCAAGTTTCTTCAGAACAGTAATACTGGCGTGATCACAAAGACCAGATTCCTCCTCTTTCTCTCTTTCTCTGTATTATAACTGTAGCCATAACAATCTCATTTGGTATGCAAAAAATATAATTACTTCAGTACAATTTCCACAGCAATTTGCAGTGTGCCTTTTTCTCTCTTAAGTTACCATTTAAATTTAATGAAAACAGTAGGACGGAGTGAGATGGCAGAACCGCAGCATTTTACATAATTCAGTTCGTTTGGTTTAGTTACAGAATAAAGATCCTGGCAGTTAAACTAAAACCATAGACCTAAATGAATGAGGCAATTTTGTGCATTCCAGAATCAATGCATATTTAAATACTTCTTTTCCTTCACAATATTATTAATCTCCAGAACCCCTTGCTTTATGGACGCTGAACCAATTTAGTCTTACTGCTTTCCTGCTCGCTAAGCTTGAAGTGGGTGTAAGCTAAAATGCCCAACAATGTGCAGAGAATCCCAAGGCCTTGATTAACAGACAGTGGATCCTTAAATAAGAGGCACCCTCCCAGAAGGGTGATGCAGAACTTGAAATGTCCAAACATGTTATACCTAGACGTCTGTTAAGGATAATAGTAAATATCAGTATTATTTTTTTCTAAAAAGAAACACGTGGGAACTTCATTAATTACACCCAAAGCATGCAATGGTATGTCACATTCACCTCAACTCATGCAACTTTGCCACATCTCTGCGGCTATGAGAACTAACCTCCACCTAAAGCCTTTCACCCACTGTACACTATAAACTAACAGACACGCCAACACTTCCTCAAGGTAGCCAAAGTGTCGGTAAATATTCTTTGTTGGTATGAAGGTCACATGAGTAAGTTAACTGCCATTACCTATACAAACCCTGAACAAAGAAACAAAATACACTAAAACATGAACGTGCTTTTCCAGCTTCATCATTTAAAATAAAGCAGACAAGTTACCAAGCAATTTTCCCCACAGTACATCAATCAGCCCAAATGAATGCTAACATAATTCATCTGGAAATAGGAGAAACAACTAATGTTACAAAGGATACGTGACAGGTGACGTATTTCCAATGATCCAGTAAATGGACAAGTTTACCATAAAGGCTATTACTCCAGACAGCAGTACCATTATCTGTGGATTAATGGACACAGTCAGTAATCTGACACGCTTTCAGCCATTTGTAGATACATTTCAGGTTGCTTAGTTAGTTTCCTTTACTTTCAAATCCAAAATATCAGGTGAGAAAAACATATGGAAAACAAAAATAGAAACAGCTTCAAATCAGTATAGACATGGGGATGCGTATAAGTAGCTTGGGGTATGATGTCCGTAAATATATATGGATATAACCACAAGCCTTTTTTCCTTTACCCTCCGTGAACATTTAAGAGTGATTTAGAAAATCTGGCTACTCGTACACATAGAGGTTGTATTCTTTACCTTTGAGACAAAGTCTTACTTATAGTCACAACAAAAACTATTTTGGAAAAATATCCGATTTTGTTATTGGGAATACTTGCTATCCCATTCATAAATTCCAGTGCTATGAGAAATGACCCATCACTGAGCAGCACGATCAGCAGTGATAAGAATATGCCACTGGCTCTTTTTTGGACAGAAGGATAAAGACAGAAATTATAGCAATCTTTGTGAAAATAAACTAGAAATTCTAGAGAACAACCAATGTTGGCATCCCTTCACAGAAGAGGAGTTGAGAGTGTCAAAAGTGAGCATGCTTATCTCTTTTTTAAGTGGACAGCAAGAGCTGGAACTAGGGCACTTACATATTTTTAATTTAATACACTAGGGAAGCTTCTGGATTTTGTCAGATTTTCCTGTTGTTCAGATGCCCTCTAAATAGAAACAAGAATAAGGAGGTAAATCAATTGACAGAGACTCCTCTGGGAAAAAGTGGGGCAGGCACAACAAGGGTTTTTTTTCTCTTCCACGTGCCCAGCTCATCTCATCAGTCAATGACTGTACAAAAATCTGTTTCACAAAGAAACAAATCTTACTATCAGATTTAACTACATCAATGATGATTATTTAGTTAAATAAAGTCAATAAAAGCCTTACCACAGCAGAAAGCGTCCAGGGCCCAAATATTCCCCCTTCTCCAAAGACTGGCTCAAAGAAGGGTATGATGAACAACAACATAGCCGAGGACATTGGCGCCTGATAGTACAGCAACTGCATAGAGTTTACCTGCAACTCATGCTGCTTAGCTCCTACCCACTAAAACCAAAAGAGAAAGCTGTTAAACATGAGGAAAAAACACCATAAATGGAAAACCTGAGCAAAAGCAAACTGTCTATTAACATAGAGGGAGTCTCATGTGGACAATACTACATAAACAGTTTGTTGAGCATCATCTTCTACCTTTGCCTAACTGGAGACCCATGTGTTTGTCTCTTCTGAGCACACAAGCCACATGAGGAGAAAATCATATGCAGAGGCAGTGAAAAACCCCTGAATGCCTAAACCTTCCTTTTCTCCTAGCCTGGGGGTACAGTTTTATAGTTGAGGAAGAAAATGCCAGCTCCCTTTTCATCTAAAGACAAATCCCAGATCCTGTCTATGAGGGAGCTGAGCACCTCTGCCTAATCAGAGATCTGCTTTTGCTCCTCTCTTCTCATTTTCCTCCACACACAAGCTAACAAAACCAGTAAACATTTGGCTTTCTCATGCCAGTTTATTCCAAATTTACTGGATTTCATTTCAGTATTGACTATAATTGACTATAACTTGGATTTTCAATGCAGCACACTTTAAGAGACAATATTAATTACCTGTGGTTATGAATATAGAGGTTACAGGCAAAAATATGTATCTTTTTGCATCTGAAGAATTATGTTTACTTTAATACTTCATAAATTACATTAATTGGTAACATGGATTCCAGCACACAAACTTGCTAAGTTGGTTTTTTTTTTTTTTAAATTACAGAATAATTTCACTCAGGTACTATCATTTCTCCAGTACACACACCATCACTTAATAGTCACTATGAAGCATCTCTCTCCTCCTCCTGTTCCAAAACAGGACAAGAAACCACTATCTACCATCTTGCACAATACAGCTCAAAGAGCCTCACTTCTTTTGGAGGCACAGTACATCTGTTACAAAGAAATTGACATTGAAATCGATGATGACTATCACATCAACATGACAGGGGACTCTAATTTGGGAGGCTTTTACAGTCACAGCCGATAATGAACTGTTTGTGAGCTGTTAGTACAATGTTACAGGGAAGAGGGCAAAGGCAGTCCTTGGACTTACCTATTTTTTCAACCATAATCAGCCAGAAAGGTTATATTGTGCATATTAATGCAACCTCTACAAAGACACCTCAGACTGTGCAGAGTCAAAATCGAAGAAGGATGCTGATAAAATGTAAACAGCTCAAAGATAAACCATGGGATTAACTGAAGGACTTAGAAAACGTCCTTTATAGGGGAAAGGCTCAAATGCAAGGCACTTGCTTCAGCGAGGAGAAAATCTGTGCACTCTCAAAAGCTGGAATTTTACTGATAAAGCAATCTTTACCAGGGGTTCTGGCAGATTATCACATTTTTTCTAAATAAACCACGGGAATACGGAGGGTTTCCTGGAAGGCAGGGCACTGTTCAAAGGTGATCCACCTGAGGGGACAGCAACTTCAAGCCCAAACACCAACCCTCCCGCCCTCTTCTCCCCCCCAGCCAGTACCCACCACTTGGTAGAGGGAGGTCACCAGGACGCCCAAAGTGGCGAAGGCCATCCCGAGAACGCTGAACTTCACGTCGTAATAAGAGTTGAGGAAAACGCCCAGCGTGATGGGGACCTGTGGAGGAGGAGAGACGGGTTTTAGGACAAGGCCCCGGCCCTCGGCCGTCGCCTCAGGCCGGGCGGGGGAAGAAGAGG